GAGGGTTCTGCTTCTTTTCCGGGCTCTGCTTGCTAGGCATGGATGAAAGGACAGAAGGCCACAGCTGAGCTGAACTCACTATCAAGACGGAGCCTCCTACAGAAATCACTGCGGGGGAAACCATGTCAGTCTACTGAAGATTTCAGATCCTCAGAAATATCATGAAAAGTCCTGAAGGAGAAAAGAGGAGAACGATTAGTTCTGCTTTTGGAAAAGGGATGGGGGGGTGGGGGGAGGGGGGATAAAACCAAAGAGATACATGAAAAAACAAAACAAAACCAAAACAGTATCCAACCAGTAGTTAGTTGCCATAGAACAATATCTTATTTTTATAACCAGAGAGCCCTGATGAGGTCAGATAGTCACTATTTTTTGCTAAGACTTTCACTGAGTATTACTTCAAAGTCTGCTAGTTATCTCTGTTTTTGGTAACAAGAACTCTAGTTTGTTGCTGGGTCCATGGTCTCCCTTCCAAGATGATTTCCCCAGACTCCTAATATCTGGTCTGGCTGGATGTGGTCTGCTACATATCCAAGGTGCCGACCTCAGGACTGCTGTAGCTAGCTCACCTCTGCTACATCATTTACATGCCCAGGCTAGGAGGATGTCACCCAGTCAGGTCTGTATCTGCAGTAGCCAGGTCAGAGTTTATCAATGATGTGCTCAAGAACCCATCTTACACGAAAAGACCTCATGCCAAGGCTGGCAGAACAGGATTCAAGACTAAATGTTTGTGGGACAGTCATACGAGCCCCAGACTGCCTACCTCTGGCTTCTTTTGCCTAAGAAATAAACCTCTAGCTCACAGTTCTAAGCCACTGTTATTTTGAGTTCTGTTGATGGTGGGGTTTCTCGCTTTTTGTTTTTCTGCTTATATACAGTCAAATCTATCTTAAATGATAAAGAGACAAAGCACACATGTATCACCCTTTCAGGCAGAAGTGATGTTGTTCCTTTACAACATAATCACCAACTAGGAACTCAGAAAAATAGTTAAGTTAAAATGTTTACATTTTTCAGAACAATTCTCAAGTCTCCAAGTTATATCAATTTGCAGCCACATCACTGTAATATGTTGAACGGTCTTAGTTTATTTATCCATCGAATAAAGCCCATTTTATTTTCATACCTATAACCAAGTGTTGGTTACTGTAAACAGATTACTCAATGTTCTCATTACAAATAGACCCAAAGTAGACTGTAAGGAAACTATTCCAAAAAATTCAGAGACCAATTCAGTTGTAGAAACAAAAGATGACAAGAAGTTGTCATTGGGTGCAGATACATAAAGCAAATAATCTGAACTTTGGCTTCAGTTCCACATTCATGCCACCTCTCTTACCCCTTTTACCTTACTCCTTTGTTTTCTCAATGTTCTTTTCACACAATGAGGAGGGCCAGCGGGGTGGAGCAGAGGTAAAGACTAACACTCTAGCACGAGCTACGAAGTACTTCAGAATCAAGAGGGCACAGGTAGAATCTTAGAGAAGAGAGATTACATTCAAGGATGCTCTGTTATCTCCAGGCTGCCTCACCGGTGGGCGCCCTAACCCCTCATCCCTCCAACACGCACCCCTAACTAGCACAGCTCCGCTTCCAAAGGAACAGCTCTGAGGAGTGGACAAGCTTCCAGGCCATGGCTTTGAAAGGGTTTGCATGTGTCGTGGCCAAACTCACAATGTTAAATATATGCTGGCAGGTCAAAGAATTGGAATGAATTTTGTTTCCTTAAATATTTTTTACACTCTGAATGAAATCCCCCAAAACAAAGATTTATATACACACAGATTTTATATGTGATACTATCTCTCTGCACATCAAATTGGGGTTTCTCAACAGCAGCACCATCAACATTTCTGTGCACTATTCAGATGTTTAGCAGCATTGCTGCCTCTATCTGAACTTGTGACAATCAAAATGTCTCTATACATTGTCAAGTATCTCCTGATGGGAGCAAAACTCATGCCCCACCCCCGCCCCCCCCCAACCACTGCCCCTAGCTGACTAGGTATCTATTTTTCACAATCTCACCTAAATTTGTGTTCTTACATTTGCGTACAGTTGTCTACAAGCTGTCTCAGATGACATGAATTTCATAAATAGTACTCAATTTAGGGACCCCTGGAAAATCTTTAAAACCAATAACCCAAAACTGGCCAATATTAAAAGGCATTTCCCAATATGCAACAAACAGGTTTCTAAATTCATCCTGTGACATCTTTTCACATTTCTAAGATACCTGCAAATTTGAATCTCTGTTCAACTCCTCTAAATTGTGAATGGAAATTTCTGCCTCAGGGCAAAGATGCATGAAATAAGATTAAGAGTGTGGTTGGCCTGGTGACTGCTTTCTGTTGACAAGTAAGCTTAGCTGTAACCTTGAAATTTATACCTACTATTCAGTTCAGCCCTCAGGCCAAGAAGGCCTCCAAAAGGACCCAGAAAAAAGAAAACAAAGTGAAGCAAGCTGAGAAAAGTTATTTACAGTTTTCTAACTCAACATTCTATCTTCTCTAGATGTTTAGAGTGGTGATGGTAGGGGAGTGTGTGCGTGAGGGTAGGGGGTAGAAGCCTACAGAACTGACACTGATGTTCAACAAACCTGTATATCTCGGAAAACAAACTCTCTAATCTAGCAACACAGAAATGATTTATTTCGGTCCTCATTGAGAGGCGTTGAGCTAACTAATCAGCAGGGCTCATTAAACTTGAACTTCCTAGAGTAGGAAGAAACAAAGGGAGAATACTGCACTGACAGTATTTCTAGAAGTGGTAAATGTCCTACTCAATCATCTAAATACAATATTCTTTTCCAAACCATAGGGATCATTATGCTAAGAACTAAAGTGGTGGGGGCGCCTGGGTGGCTCAGTCAGTTAAGTGTCTGACTCTGGATTTTTTACTCAGATCATGATCTCAAGGTTCGTGAGACAGAGCCCTGAGTCAGGCCCTGCGCTGACAGCACAGAGCCTGCTTGGGATACTCTCTCTCCCTCCCTCTCTGCCCCTCCCCTGCTTGTGCAATCTTTCTCTCAAAATAAATAAACTTAAAAAAAAAAAAAAAAGAACTACAGTGGTAAGATTTCTCATATAAGAGCAAGAAATGCAGAATAGGACATGTGCCTGGAAGGACAGAGACTGCTATTAACATTTTACAGTTCCTTTAATGGCAATGGAGACTGTGTGGTGTGATTTCTCATTTACAATCCCTTGCTCCTTGAAAATGTTTCTGAATCTTCCTCCCTCAAAGTTTCAGTGAGATTTTTAAAAATTCCTTTATGTAAATGTTTAAACTTGTTCTGATTTAACATCTCAAGAGCTGTTGACTCCTTTCTTCCTAGAAATACAGAATAAATTTTGGACATTTAAAAATAAAAAGCTTTAACTGACTTAGTTGGCCTGGCATAGCTGAGTGTCTATTTCCTAAACCCTCACTTAGCACACAGGTACACAATCGTGTGACAGAGCACATGTCATCACTATTATGCACATCCCTTCCTTTCCAACTAATTTGGAACACAGCTCTAAGGCTGGGGTTCACTGTGTTCCATCCTCTTTTGTCAGCCTCAAGGTGATATTGCAAAAATCTTTTTCTCTGATCTGTTCTTGGTTTCACTAACCTATGAATTCATCAAATGTTCACTGGGCATTTTCTATGTGCCGGACGTCATGCTAAGAATGGTAAAAGAGTGGCAAACAGATGAGACATAGTGCCTACTTTGAGAAAGCTTCCTGGCGACTAGGAAAGACAATTAATTAAACCTACACAAATATAATGTGTGTTAAGTTCCAACAGGATAAGTACAAGATGCTGTGGGGCAGGGAGACCATGAAGCAGGGACATCTTACCTAGCCCAGAGAGTTCTGGCAATGCTTCTCTGAAGAAGAGTACTCTGAGGACAGGACACGGTACCAGGCTTGGCTGGAAAGGGTGTGGTATTCTTTACAAAGAGGGAAAACATGTGCAAAGATGACAATGACTTCAGAGAACTAAAACAAGTTCAGTATGGCAGCGGAGAGGGAGAAGAGTCTACAGATATAGACAGAAGGCAGGAAGGAAGTCTGATGGGCCAACCTAAAGTCCCCACTCTATCGTGAAGGCCATGGAAGCTACTGTGGGAATTTTATCAGTAGACATACATAACATGTATGCCTCAGAAAAACCAGAGAGGCGGGGCACCTGGGTGGCTCAGGAGGCTAAGCGTCCGACTTCACCTCAGGTCATGATCTCGCAGCTCATGAGTTCGAGCCTTCCGTCGGGCTCTGTGCTGACAGCTTGGAGCCTGGAGCCTGCTTCGGATTCTGTGTCTCCCTGTCTCTCTGCCCCTCCCCTGCTTGCACTCTCTCTCTCTCAAAAATAAAAAAAAACATTATTAAAAAAAAGAAGAAGAAAGGAAAACCAGAGAGGCTGCACTACAGAGCAGAGTGCAGAGACCAGTGGAGAAGCTACTGAGTAACCCCAGCACTGGGTTACACCACTGGAAATACAGAGGAATGAGAGGATTCAGGATGTTTTCAAGTGACAGAAGCAAAGGAGAGCCACCAGTGAACAGAGCGTGAGCCAAGTACGTCCCTTCCCTCCTTCAATTCTCTTTCTTTCCTCGTTAGCCCAAACTAGCATGACAGGGAGTGAGGGGCACTCCAGCTGATATTCTGAACGTTAACGTAAAGGTCTGTGGCAGTGGTGATACTTTTTGGAGAACACCTTCGTAGCTCATTTTGCAAAGACAAGGAAAAAAAAAACTTCTTGCTGTATAAAGTTGGAGGCATTAAACCTTAGTTTAATTACTAAATTTCTTTTACGACATGACACTCATTTTTGATTTAACTTCAGAAATTAAACTATGAAAGATATTCACACTCTGATTAAAAGAATGCTTCTAAAAACAGCAATGGGCTACTAATAACTCCTGCTAGTGAAAGATTAAGTTGAGTTCCTAAAGGACCACATTCCAGCGTCGCACTCCGTACTGTCATGATGTGACAGAGGGAAGGAAAACCTTAATACAGAGAACAGCATTCCTGGAGGAGTCCCTGGGATATGTTCCTACTTCCTTCTTGCAGGTTTTGCCGCTCAGTTTTTGGTAGAAGTAAAATAAGTATATCAAAGCAAATCTGAATATCCTGTCTAAAAGTCAAGGAAGTACTGTAAGACACATGACTGCAGGAGAGTTTTTGCCCTCCCCCACACCTCCCAGACAGCCCCAGTGTCGACAGAGAACAGAGGAGGTGATGTGCTCGAATTACTGAATCAAGGCCAAAATAGTTGGGAGCCTTACACTGTGTGGTGTCCGTGACATCCACCCCCATCATACTGCAAACACCACTATCAACACTGAATATCAAAGAAAGGGGGCCCTACCCCCTTCGTTCTTCCTTAGGTGGATAGTTGTCGATCCGTCTGAAGACAGATGCGAGTACACAGAAGCAGTCTCGCAGATGGGTACCATCAGCTGCCAGTGCCTGCCTCTGCAAACAGAAGGTATGTCTGCCTAATGAAATGTCACCATCCAGCCTCTGCTATCGCACCGCAGCAAGCCTGCTGTGTCTGAGGCCCTGAGAGAACGCCAGTGTGGCAGCAGCTCAGACAGCAAGAACAAACATGTCAGGATCAGGTCATGCAGGATCTTGCAAGCCACGTCAAGGACTTTGATCTTCCTCCTAAAACCAACGGGAGGCCATTTTTGGTAAGTGAGTATTGTGATCAGATATGCTTGCGTTTGGAAGAGAACAAGTGAGCTGCAGTGTGAAGGAACTAGAGAACTGTGAGAGAGGAGGCTGGGAGACTGGTTAGAGACCACGATGACCACACAGTCCGGGTGAGAAACGCAGCAGCTGCGCCCAGCTCAGACCAGGGGCATGGCCACAAAAATGGCCTCCCGTTGGCTTTAGGAGGAAGATCAAAGTCCTTGACGTGGCCTGCAAGACCCTACATGATCTGATCCTGGCATGTTTCCTCGAGCTGTCTGAGCTGCTGCCATACGGGTGTTCTCTCAGGGCCTCAGACACAGAGGAAGAAGAGATCTGAGGGAAAGCAGACAGGACTTGGTACAGGTGGTGACTGAGGAGATGGGGAGCAGGAAGAATGACCACAAACTGACATATGGAAGTGGAGTATAGCATTCCCCGAGGTAGGAAACAGGGGAACATTTGTTCTGGTGGAAGGGTGGAGGATGGCTCACGAAGGAAGAGAAAGATCATTGGTTCAAAGGCACCAGCTCACCTGCTTTTTAGCTATGTGACTAGGGGCAAGCTAACCCCTCTAAGCCTTGATTCCCTCATCTATAAAACATGGAAATCTACAGCTCCTAACCTCATATGTGAACACTGGACAGATTAAATAAAATCACACACGTAAAGTTTTACCACAGAACTTCATCCCAGCAAGTGTCAGCAGAGGTGATGTTTGTTACTGTTTAAGGTCTCCTTTAGACTTCCCACTGAAGGGTGAGGTTTGGAACTCATGTTTCCTTCAGGCCCTCTCAAAACCCTATTAAAATGCCAGTAAAGGTAATTTTTTTAAGGCATAAATTTATCTGGAAAAAAAATTTTTAAGAGAATGTAAGAGGTAAGAGCAATAAACCTTTAAAGCATATTTATTTATTTTTAATGTTTGTTTATTTATTTTGAGAGGGAGAGAGAGAGAGAAAGAGAATCCCAAGCAGGTTCCATGCTGTCAGCACAGAGCCCGATGAGGGATTCAATTCCATAAACCGAAGATCATGACCTGAGCTGAAAAGCAAGAGTCAGGAAGCTTTGACTGAGCCATCCAGGTGCCCCAAAAGCAATAAACTTTTAGAAGATGGAAAGCAGATGGGACAACTGCTCTGACCCAGCATACCCTAAAAAGCTGATCCTAGACCAGTAGTGGAAAAAGCCAGGAAACTATTTGATTTATTCCATAAAATCTCTCATGAGGCTCAGGAACTGGTGATACCAAGTAAACTTCCGGAAGTGGTGTTAGGTGGGGCTAAATACAGCAGAACTGTCTTAAAGTCTGTTTAAAAAGCAGCACGACTCCACTGCTCCAATATCCTCACCTACCTCCACCTGGCCAACCAACTGCTCCTATCACTGGCAGAAAATGCTTGGGATTCTGTCTCTCCTCTCTGTCCCTCCCCTGCTTGTGCTCTCTCTCTGTCTCTCAAAAATAAGTAAATAAACTTAAAAAAAAAAAA